TAAGTGCAGGGTTGTCTTTATTTTCATCTGAAAACTGGAACTCCTCCCCGTGCTCCACTAACTGTTACAGATGGCCCAGGTGCCTACCAACTGCATGTGTTACAGAAGAAATTTATCCACAAGTAAAACATATTGGCACCACAACTGGCCATTTCTAAAAAAATACTTCCACAAGACTTTTTTTCTTCCTTCTACACAAGAGAACAAAACAGTGTGCCAGATGCTTTCCCACACCGAACATGTCATTAGAGTGGGCGATGCACTTGCAAGTAAAGAATGCTAAGCAAAATAAGGTAGTTAATTAAACTAGCCTGACTTGGAAAGGGAATGAATTCTAAGGTTTTCAATTGATTTCCAAATTTCAATTAGCTCGGAACAGACAAAAAAAACCCAACCAACCAACCCAACGCACAACTGGCTGATTAAGCCCTGGCTCTCCTGCATGATTTTCTTACTAAGGATCTCCACAGGTATCTTGTAAATAGAGTGTTTTGAGGGACTTTTTGATGATTATTAAAACGTGATGCCTATCCACACTCAAAGCCCAAAAGCGCTAAAAAGGCAAAGTGCATTACTATCGAGTATTAATTATAGAACTTTCACATCAACCATGCTGGCTCTCAGAGTGCAATAACATTGTCCACAGCGACCCAACACAAGGTTTGGGAGTAACTCAAATTAGCATTTCCATTTCCTTTTTCACTTATTAGGAAGGGTTCTGTGTCGAAGCAATGTGGTTCTCCAGCTCACAAGATAGGAGGAACTGGGTAGCTATAAAAAAATTAAAATGTTTCCACCACCTATGATTCCACCAATAAAAATGGCTTCACACATTATGGTTCAATTATGAAACTGGAAAAATAAAAAGGTATTGAATATGCATGTTTTCGTTTCACATGACTAATATTTTAAGGTCTAATGCATCAAACGGCTTTTGTTCATGAATATTTAAACAAAGCACAAAAACCAGCTAGTTTTAGAAAGCCAGCCAAATTCAGCTACCTGCTCTATGGTAGTGTAACAAAAAAAGCCCCTCTGTATCTAAAAATATCATGGTGAAAGACTTTCAGGAACTACCATGTCCTCCTCCATCTCTCTCAGCATGACAGCCAGCACTCGTCAGGAGGGCAACAAACTCCAAATGAAAACTTTATTTCCTTCCTAAGGGTTACAATGACAAATGTGGCATCAAATCCCAATAGCCAAACAAAGGAACAGGAGTCAAAATTTACCTGGAACATTAAGTGAATCATTATTTCAATGAGCTGATATATATGTTGCATTGTGCCTTCTATGATCTTCATTTCTATCTGGTATAATTAACAATAAATCATTCTGGGGGCTACAGCATCTGTTATTACATAAATAAAACACTAGCAAAGGAGCTTGTCAAGACTGATTTATATGAAGCGCTGCTCTGAAGTTTATTGGATTTCCATAACAAGAAATCACGCCATATCATTTTTTTTTTACATTAATCTTCTGGGTTGCATATGATAATTTCTAAACAAAACCACAACTTAGTGCAGGGTAAGATTCTCACAAATTATTTATCAGATAAACCTGGTATGTTTTAAGTAGATGGTGAACAGAAAGATAAAAAGGGCACCATTTTGTCAGGACAACAAACTACCTATCTAACCTGGTTTAAGTTAGTCAAAAAAGTAGGCTCTCAGAAATAAGCCAAAGTTTATTGAAATATCCCACCTGACAGAACTATCATTCATAAGAAAACACTTTTCTAGAAAAATTCGAAGTGAACAAGGAAAGTATTTTCACTGGTTTCTAAAAATTGCGATGAACAGTATTAGTACACAGAATGAATTTTTGAAGCATGAATAAATCAAACATCACAGAAGCCTAAGGACCTTTCAAGAGTCATTGAGGTCACACCTTGCAGGTTGTATTTTCTTGGAGGTACAACAGTCCATGTTCAGGCAGACTCTCTAAAGGGAACTATGCTGTCTCAATACAGGGTTGAAAACCATCCTAGAAAGGACCGGAGGACTTGCACGACAATACCTACAAAAGGCAAACTTCAGCAAAGCTACTGAGATGCTCACAAGAACACCCCAGGGTAAGTCCTACTGCTATACATTAAGATGTCATATTGGGGGGAAGGGGAAGTCATGACAACAGCAGTCAAAAATATTCTACACAGACAAGATTCTTAAGAGGCTAAATTAAGAGTTTGCATAGTGCTTTTATTTCAGAAGTGTGAAACCCTCCCCCATTCAGAAAACGAATCAGCAGTGATTTTCTAAAATAGATGTGCACTAGAAATACAAAGAAAAAAGAATCACAAGAACAGAAACAAAATATTTTGGGACAAATCTAATCTCAGAAGCAAGAAGTCTATAAGTGCAACTACAGGCTCCTTAGACTCCCAAGTGATTAAAGGGGGTAATTAAAGTAGATAGTGAAACAGCGAAGTTAAATGAATTTTCTCCATTAGTCTTTTATTATGGATGACAAGGGAAAAGAAATTCCAATTCCAAAAGCGCTTTGATGATTATTGGCCTTAACAGAGATCTGAGTCTCTAAGAAGGGTGTCAGGGAACAACTTGGAAAACTCTAGAGAGGTAAGCCACCAGAACCAGATGGCATCCATCCCAAGAGAAAGGAAGGGAATAAAACGGAAAACAGGTAAGAAACTGAAATGTGTGCGCAATACAGACTTAACCGCAATTCTTCTCAAACAGTATAGAAATCTTTAACACATTGGCTATCTTTAGGAAAGGAACCAAAGGACTAAGAATTACACATTCACCTCAGTTCTGAAGGGCACTGCGAAGCACTGAGAAATAACACGCGACTTCGCAGATGTAAGAGTGAGAACAACGAGGAAGCATTTCATTTCGATACAGAATTTGATCTTGGATTTCAGCTGGCTATATATGCGAATGTATAGGCTACATTTAAACAATTTTGCAGAGTAAGAAGGAAAGTTAAGTATTACAGGGCCACATTTTAGATCTTAATCCTATTTTACTCCTGTCTGTTGCAGGAAACAAGACAAAAATTGATGCACTCTGTGAGACACGTGTAATCAAATAGAAGCTGAAATAACACAAAAAAACAATGCCAGTGGTTTTGGTAAGCTAACGTGACATAGGTAACATTTTTCATGTTAAAAATACAGGCATTTTAACTTTAGTGTAGATATCAAGTTATGGATGCCTAGACTTGACCAGTTACAAACCAGTTCTACAACTTACACAGATTGAGCTTCTTTTTAACATTCTGAAGTACTTAAAAGCTTCATGTAATGAGATGCCTTACCGACAGTAAGGAATCAGTTAAGCATTTTTAATGTGATTAATTTGATAAAGTCAGTTCCACTCACTTTAATAAAACAACCAAATAACAACATGCTTAGGATACTTCCTCTAAACAAACAGATTATCTGTTCCCTGGTACAGTGATTATCACTCGGTTTCTGATGTGTATCATAGCCATCTACAAGCTTTTAAGAATTTTATAAATAAATGGTTAAAGACTATGCAACTGTAAATAATTAAAGCATAGCAAGCAGAGGCAGACATAATATTGTGGTCATTAGGTGGTATTTAACCTTAGCCAGTTTGCAGGAGTACAACATACTACTTTGTTTTTCTTGGTATCGCTAGTTTCATTTTTACTGAAGGAAAACAAATTACTTGAGCCTCAAGCACTGTGAACAAAGGAATGTACGAGTTGCTGTAGATAGTTACAGTACTGGACAGTGAGGTAGAATATGCTTAAAACTACATTTAAGAAAGGAGATACTTAAAAATGAAATCTGAAGCTACACACTGCATCCTCCCTTGGCAGTTTCACAAAAATCATGCTGAACTGAAGTTGCTCCCAGCTTCCAGTCCTACCAGCCATACATGGGGGCTGTACATTTCTGTTGTGATTGCCCCTAAAACATTGTACAGATTTAGCTAGAAACTCGTTCAGCGCAGGGTAAATCCTATCCTTTCCACAGCTCTCACAAGGGCATGTGATTAGAATGTAGCCCATAACCACGAAAATGACAGGACAGAACTCAACTGTTCATACCTCCAAGATATGTTTTATGGATAAAAGGAGACATAAAAAGAGGAAGAATGAAAATTGTTTGTTGGTAGAGTCAGCAGATCTGTCTATGTGTTTCTTCAGGGTAACATATGACCAGTTACAGGTAATTCCTTTTACTATATTTCAGGAAGGAAACAAAGGTCAGCTTAGAGTCATTACCACCACAGTTCTGCAAAAGCTGTGGACAGGGCTCTGGGGAAACAAACAACTACAGGTTTCACTATCTTACCAAAAAATACGGAATAAGAGACAAGTTTCTTCAGCATGACCTTAAAATACCATTTCACGTATCGTGATTTACTGATGTTAGTGCCCCCCACCCTCCCCAAAACAGTCAATTGTTGTGGCTGCACTGAAAATGCGTGAGCATCTCAACATACACTCACATCATGTAACGACTCAGTAATGCTTTATTTACACCCATTATGTTTATGCAAGAGATAACTGGACATCCATCCATCCAAATATAAATGATAATGAAGACTGGAGCATGAGTGGGACAAATTCCAGACAGCCTTCCCACATACATGACACTGTACATCTGATGGCATTATGAATTTTCCTTCTAGGAAATAACTATTGTTTTCCTACAGCTAGAAGCTAGCTGGACTAATGAAAGGACCAACAGCCAGGTCAGGTGTCAGCTGAGCAACAATTCCAGCTGGCATACCTGACCCAAGCAGCCTCCCATACAGAACATTCGCTAGCTGCCATCTTAAAGGCACCACCCAGAAGTTTCTCTCTGAAGTTCTTGGGCTAGATTTTCAAAACGTAGTTGGTATTTGAAAGGAGGTTATGGTATCCTAGGCTACCACCATACTCATATTGTGATCCCCAAATCTATTTTATCTGCTAAATATTTTATGCACTACGTGCCTTAAGTAGTCCAGAAATAAATGGAAGGCTTGTTCTTCCATACAGTAATTCTGTATACTTACTGTATTGAGTGCGTTAAGCGTAGTGTCATCACGGGAGGCTGCAACACAACCATCTTCTGTGGATCCTCCATCACACATGCCTGCAAAAGCTGCCATGCTCCTTTACAGTTTGAGGGGGGAAAAAAAGTTTAAATTCTTCAGCTGCTGTTTGATGCACACATCAGGCAATACACAAATAGTATATTTAGACCTTAAACCACAAATTTCAGGGCCTTGCGATACCGTGGAAACAAGTAAAACGAGGCACCACAAACACTGCTATTTGTTATGCAAACCTGAGTCACTTCAGCATATGCAATAATTAATTCAAAATTGAAATCCAATCTAAGTGCATTTCATCAATTAAAAATCTGCACTGCAGAAGTAGCAAAGCCTGATCAGGATTATGGAAGATACAACCTCCACACATGAGAACAGAGTCTCACCACAGACAGCAAACCTTTTGTTGTAATCTGAGTTTCATTATGTTAGAAAACTGACTTAAATTGCAGATTGCCCACATCTCTGAATTCTTGCAAACTACGAGTAATTTACTCATACTCTTAATTATTATGAGGCCCACCAGTGCATCTGATTAATCTACCAGCCATACCAGAGATCTGTATGAAACTGAGATGCAAACTAGAGCTCACTGAAAAAACAGTCTCTGAAGGAATCCTACACTATCACAGCTACTCCACTCATAGCAGTTACTTCCCTGGCTACATGGTACACATCCAAAGCTCTTTCTATCACGCTAGCACATACTGCTGGCTTTGCGCTTTAAATCCAAAAGCCACAGCCAATGGAAAGATTTTGTGTTGGCCCAACATCAAATCAGAGCATTCTTGTCTCGAACTAAACATTTCAGCTTATCTGGTCGACATCCACGCTACACCAAAACAGAATAGGAAGGAGCGGCCGTAGCCAACTGCACGTACACGGCAGTCCACATTTCCACTACAGCATTCTAAAGACACTATTTTGGCTGAAATTACCTTGCTGCCCTAAGGTACATAAGTAAGTCACAGTCGTTGACTCCTGGCATCCACACAAGTTCTTCGTGCTGTGTCACTGTGTCACCATCTGGGGAAGGAAATGGCTGCAGATCGGGAAGCTTAGCCTAGAAAAAAAAAAAAAAAAAAAAATGAAGAGTTCATACAGACATTACAGTTATCAACAATGTTAGGAGGATGCACAAGTGTTATTAATAACAAAGTTTGTAAATTCTCTGGAATAATGTGATCTCATAGATGGAAGATACTCAGACAACAGGTGGTGAAGCTATTTGATCCAAGTTTCAGAAGTTTATGAGGAAACTGGGTCATCAAGCCCCGATCTCTTCACTTTATCCAGCATTCCCTCTTTTAGAAGGGCTGTTTATTTTCTGGCAATTATGCAGGGTTAACCCCACCTCTCAGTCCACCACCAGTGAAGCCCTTCTGTACACAGACCAAGCGCGAGCGTGTCTGCAGAAGTAACACAGCTTGAAAGTAAGCTATTTTGCACTGCATATGTAGCCCTCCGTTATACAGAAGTCAAACACTGTTGGACAATTTACCCTCAAAGAGACAGTTTTCATTTGTCAAAAAGATGCTGTTACAACTCCTGCCTGCCAGGCTAAAACATACTCCTATATCATACTAATATGAAAAAGGCAAGACTGTGGCTATCATGTGTACCATTTTAAAATCGGTAAAGAGCCCTACACATTTGACGCTAGGTTTAAAATTAAGTCCTCAGTAAATCATTAAAACTCTGAAGAGAACCAAGGAAATTTCCTGAAAGCGAGATAGCTCAGTGAAATGAACTCTGCCACTAAATAAGTATTACACTGTATCCAGAGCCCCAATTAGCATCTTTAGTCATCTACTGCTATGGGATGAGATAGCTGAGAGGCTCTTCAGAAACAGCTTTTAAGCCCTATAATTACCTCCTATACTTACAACGCTAAACATATTTGAGAGGCTACATTTATACATAACCGGTAATTACAAGTCACAGGTTCAGATGTCTTTCATGTTCTGCTCTTTAATCTGTACTTTATTTTACTTCTTGCCTGGGAAAATGGATATGTCATTGAACTTCTCTTCTGGAAAAGGACAAGCAAGCTTTGTACCAAGATGAGATTTCTATGAGAGCTACGCATTCTAACAACCAGGGTGCTTTCACAAATTAATGTTCATCCTTACGTACCTTAGGAATATGCTTAATTACTAGAGTTAGTCCCTAAGAGCAACTTCCTCTGGAACACCTCTGGTCATTAACTTGTTAGCCAAAAGTTTTCACAGGAGAACATTTAGCAGAGACCCACTCTCCTCCTCCTATGCATGTGAATTTTGAGAACAACTGCAATTCTACAGAACATTTCTCTACACTTGTGTCCCTACTTGCTATTATGATAAAAGCGGTAGTTTGAGGTATCTGTGCACTAAGTATCAAAGAATAACCTCCAACAGTCCTCCAGCATCTGTAACACACACAGTTTAAGGAAAATGAAGGCAACAGATATTCATCAGAAAACACTACTGGGATCTCAGGTTTCTGGATCCTGCTACATATACCTTATTCGCAATAAGGTGGGTGGAGGAAAGTGTATCCGTTCCCTGAGTTAACAAAGCCCAGCGTGTAGAGGAGACTATTTTTACACTTTCCACAGAATGAATCAGCCTACAGAATGGAACACGGCAAATATCATCTTTAATCCAACTTCCTACCGCAGCCTACAATCAGCCATTCATATATCTTAAGATTATACCTTATACTAATTAACAGGATGAGAATATATCCTCCTAGCAATGACGTTTATCAGAAACAAAGATGCTCAGCAAATGAGTGAAAGAACAATGGAAGCTTAAAATATTAAGCAAGCAAAAATTAACAGTATTCTAAATCAGTGGACCTTCTTTCTACTTTTTCTTCCATCCATAAATGCATCTGGTAATTATACCTTACAGCGCAGGTGACTAATACCTGCCAAAATATTAGATGACAATTTGAGATGAAAGCTGTTTTGAAGGTATCATTTACAGTACTCTTATTATGACTAGGGAAAAGAATACTGCAGGTTTAATTGCCAAGGACTTTTTTTTCCTCTAAATGCAAAACATCCTTAAGATTGTTACATAGGTTCCATAAATGTTTCCTAGTTATTAAACAAGATTTTAAGAAAAGAGTCTGAATGAATATTCATCACTGGGATGCAAAAATCCAGCACTTGGACAGTACAGAGTCAATTCCACAGGTACAGGAGAGCACACGGTTACTAGTGACACGTGTGGCCTTAGAAACCAAAGTTGTATGTTAATGCTCTTTAAGAACAGATTATTGTCAATGCTTATGAAGGATTTCCCTCAAATTAGAACTAACATACCACAAACAAACATCTAGAGTCTTAACCTTATTCTGCTTCTCAGTGTTTGAACGCATTCAGCATGCTTTCTCAATTTCTATTTTAACAATCCAAATGACTTAAGGCACTGGTCCTAAGAACGTACAGTTCTTGTTGCTTCTCACAGTCAACCAAACAATACAACGATACTCCCTATCTTTAAAACCAAAAGTTATCCTCTCTACAGCATCAGAAAGTGAAAAGAAAGCCTGCATAAAAAACTTAATGGGAAATACAAATAAGATCCTATAATTATAACATGACTTCTGTAGGCTATGGACAAAAGAGATATTTCAATAATTGTCCAGAATTACCGTGCCTCCTAGTTAAAAAGAATTTAAGCTTTGTATGAAAATCATGCAGGTAAAAGGGTGAGGACCAGGTAACCTCTTGAATGGCGGGGGGTGTGTGTTGGTGATGTTGGCACAGGGCAAGACAGAAGAAGGGTATTTACAACGAGGTCTGTCCCTAACAGCCGCCCAAACCGCTCCAATTATAAATACTAATTTCATTTTTAAGACAACTGTTGATTTATTAAATACACAATGGCCCCCCCTGACTTTTATGTTGAAGTACCACAGTTGGCCAAACTCATTTAACATAAAAATAAGAGGAGAACATGTACAGCCCTCAAGTGCAAACACAAGTCCCTGAGGAAATGCAAAGCCACAGACATGACACCAGACAGAGCGCGCTCACAGGCAAACATAAAAGGGAGAGCAGGTTTACAGTGAATTCTGCATTAACAGCAGCTACGTTAACAGACATGCTTAAAAGCAGTGTATCCTGTGTTAAAAGATGAATACATACATGAATATATATATGTGTATCTCAACACAGTTGCTGTAGGGGAAACAAACCTTTCTCAGGTTTAAAGTTCCCCCGTCCCTCTAATTTTGTAATGTTGTTCTTCGAAAACTGTATTTTTTAATCACTTCTAATGGAACTCCATTTTGTTTAAATACATAGATTCATGAAAAGGATTGTGATAAGCAACATAGTATCAACTTTACAATTTTGCTATGCAAATTAAAGATCTACTTTCAATAGAACTAGAAAACACCACTAAATTAATTTTTTATAGTTTATTAAAAACATTGCTTGGTGAAAGCCAGCTGAGAATGCATTCATTTCTAACTCCAGAATGTGCCCAGTAATAGCTGAGATTTTTCCTTCATTTCCAGTAGTTACTCATATTCCTTCAATCTTATTCTAGAATTAACCCAAAAGCACTTCTGCTAGTAAAAATCATTAACATACCAACATTTGACACAGAAAAATCTCATTAACTGAGCTAAGGAATTCTAAAGAACTCATGATAAATCTAAAAAACACATTGCATTTGAATGCACACAGCTTTAAACAAGTGTCCTCCAAACAGATCAAGTGGCAAAAGCACACCCTCTGGGTATTAGAAAACAAACAAAATCCCTTACCTGATGGCTGGGTCCAACCCTGATTTCACCTTGGGTACTGTTTAGCCTCCTAATATATAAAGGAAAAAACAGTAATGAGAAAGAATTACAATTAATGAAATTTAGGATCATATTCTGTATTTTTTGTCATTGTATTTCCAATGCAAATAGAAAACAAAATGGAAGCAAAAATAATACGTGATTAAGGAAACAAGAAAGGATATACTCAGGTGTATTACAGGCCACTGCAAATGGCAAAAAACAAGAGGGCAAGTCTGGAACTTTTAGTCAAGCAGTTGAAGTCAAGAAGAGGATCAGTGTGATCTGTCCTCACAGTAGCAAGAAAGCATTGGGTAGCTGACAACGGGACACACATCTCCCTGCTTTTTGATGTTTAGATTTCATGCAGTACAGCAGCAGCACTGACTTCTAATCAAGATCCTTTAAAAGCCTCTACAGCTCTGAACGGCTCTATGCTTTAGGCAGCCAACTCAAAAGCCTGCAATGCAAAGAATCCCCTTCCAACAAGCATCTGCCTTTTACTAGTTCCGTGTTCCTTTATCTACTTATTTCAACATCAAACCTAAAGTAACACAGACAACATGCTAAGCACTACGCTACAGATTAATACACAGGAAATATCACGTTCCTCATGGACATCTTTGTGGTCATTTTCATTCTGAAAGAGAAAATATCTTAAAAATATTTGGGGTATTAATCTTTGAAGAACAGAGCTCCTTGCGTTACCAGAACTGGCAAAAGTAATTCCTCTTTTTCCAGGCAGAGTTCATGGAAAACCATTCAAGTTACTTTGGATCTCACATGCAAAATTATCAAGCTCTCATTTTAAGAAGTTGAAATTATTACTGCTGCTGTTAATTCATTTGCTAAAATCACATCAGATAGCATGACACACAAGCATGAAAGATCTAAAAAGCAATAAAAACACGCCTTGTAACATTTGCAGAAGTTAATTTAATTCAATTAATTCAAAAAGGGCTTCACTTCTACATAATACACTTGGCCCTCATATTTTTAAAATATATTTATATAAAAAACTTCAAGTTCCAAATAAACTGTCCTCCACGTACTGAGAATCATACTCTGAAGGGCTCTGTGCTGCTCACACCATTGGCTGGAGTTGCTGAAACACCACATTATATGGTAGAAGAAAAACTATTTTTTCATGTTGCAGTAGAATTACCCTGGCAACAACAGAAGTTAAAGGTATGCCAATATAAACCAGAATAACACATCTGACACAACAGAATTTCTTTTTCTTCCGAAATTTTGAACAGACTAACAGAGCAAATAGAACTTTATCATTGAAGAGTGCCCTTTGACCCTTTTTCTTTATTAAACATATTACAATATAAGGAACAAGAAGGCACACGAACAAAACTATTTACTGGAAATGCTGCTTTCTCAAGGACTACAGTGGAATCCATGGGACCTCTCTGCTGTAATCTCACATGTCCAGCTCTTTTCAAGAGCCAGATCACTATAGTCTATAGAGGCACTTGTGCCTGAACGCTGGTATTTGGGACACAATGCAGCTACAGTCTTGTCCTGGTTTCAGCTGGGATAGAGTTGATTTTTCTTCCTAGTAGCTGGCATAGTGCGGTGTCGTGGATTTAGTATGAGAATAATGTTGATGACACACTGATGTTTTAGTTGTTGCTAAGTAGTGCTTACACCGGTCAAGGACTTTTCAGCTTCCCATGCGCTGCCTGGTGCACAAGAAGCTGGGAAGGAGCACAGCCAGGACAGCTGACCCAGACTGGCCCAAGGGCTATGACCCAGACTGGCCCAAGGGCTATGACCCAGACTGGCCCAAGGGCTATGACCCAGACTGGCCCAAGGGCTATGACCCAGACTGGCCCAAGGGCTATGACCCAGACTGGCCCAAGGGCTATTCCATACCGTATGGCGTCAAGCTCAGTACAGAAACTGGGGGAGTTGGCCGGGGGGCAGCGATCGCTGCTCAGGGATGTGCTGGGCATCAGTCGGCGGGTGGTGAGCAATTGTAGAGTGTTATCACTTGCTTTGTATATTATTATTGCTGTAGTAGTAGTATTACTACTATTCTATTTCATTTTATTTCAATTATTAAACTGTTCTTATCTCAACCCACAAGTTTTCTGACTTTTACCCTTCCAATTCTCTCTCTCCCCCATCCCACTGGGGTGTGGGGAGTGAGCGAGCGGCTGGGTAGAGCTTAGTTGCCAGCTGCAGTTAAACCACGACAAGTCTGAAAACTTAAATGACCCTCCAAGACTCCTGTAAAACAGCATTAAAGAACACAACTAAATCCAAGGAAATTCAATATCCTTAAGATCAACATTCTTCTTTTCCTATAAATTGTCCTTGTTTAAACAGACATCTTTTATTTATATCCTGCATATTTCATGAAAAGGAGGGCAAAATTCAGAGGTGTTTAAGACAAACTTTTGAATTTAACGCTTCAATAACGGCAAGACATTTAAGTGAGTCTCAACACCAGCAAGGAAGAGCACACACATAAACCCAACAGATCACCATCTTTACTTCAGAAACAGCAAACTTGAATTCATCTTGCAATTTGCTGTTACAGGCATAACGACATCATTTTACAAGTAAGCTGCCGCCCTGCAGGATTTCTTACTCACCCTGCTATGTTCACCATGATCATGGGCAATAACTGAGAAAATCTTTAAAGTTTAAAGGGAACTCTAAGATCACAGCTGTAAACTGCCAGCGACAAGCAAAACAATGGATAGCCCAAACCATTAAATGCCATTTGAAGTCAAAAAGGTTACTGAAGGTTTTTTTAACATGATCATTTGCGTATCTTTATTTTCACCTCAAAATTTCAAAGTATGTTGTATGTGTATTAAGTTAAACTTCACCTTACTGACCATTCTGAAATGTTATTCATTGGTGCACAAGTGGGCAAGCTACAGCAGTGGATCTGAATGGCCCTTATCCAAGACAACACGACAGGAGAACCTGTCAGACAGGAATAAACACAGGTGTTGTAATACGCAATCTTATGTCGTGATGCCTACGCAATGCTACCTTCCTGGTAAGCAGATCCACTCCAAAATATGTGCCAAAAGTCTCCTGAAAAGAAGGAGAACATGTCAAAGTGTTTTTCTCCAATGCCTATTTTTGCAAGACATGATCTGACACTGTTCTCTTGTTTTCAGGTTAGGCAAAGAAATGACTGAACTAGAAAATCAATTTTATATTTACAACAGAGTTATAAATTAAATACTAGGGTACATTTTTCCAGGTACAAGGTGTCAGAATTTCTCCCTGTGAGGAATGAAGGGGGAACTGACAACACAAAATGCTGATGCTCTTCCTTTATTCCCAGAATTCATTTTAAAGCCATGCACATCTCTACTACTCAGTGCAAGTCAAACCTAAAACGTGTCTATGCAGTTTCTGGCAGCTACGATACTTCGCATCAGCCAAAGGCTGCAGAAGGAGGTTTTAAGCTATTTTCTGTTTAGATAGAAAAACCACAGCACTCCAAATATCCCCCAACTCCCAATTTCTTCAGATGCATCACACTGAATATCATAAATAAAGCATTTAAGAATCAGGACTGATTATAGGATCCTGGAGACAAAAGCAAAGTTTTGGATGGGACTTCTGCTCCTAACTATTCACGTGGAGTTAGCTGGGGAAACTCAATGGGGCTATCCAACCATGATTCCTCACGTGAAAATGAAGTGTCGAGAGAAATATTTCTGTGTGCCTTTTCAGCACTCATTTACCATTCCCTGATTTTCTTCACGCCCTAAAGGTGCTCCCTCCCCCTGCCCCAAGAGGTGAGGGCTGGACTGAGTTACGCTGCTGTGCGGGAAGCTCTTTCAGACTGCACTCCATCACGCTTTTTTCTAAAAGGGCACAAAGCTGATGGCTCCGCAAGGGCACACAATCTGTTAAATAATTTTTACTGTTTCCACGTCCCCAGGAATGGGTTCGCAAATGGAAAGAAAATTCTTGCTATGGAAACTAAAATGCACCGTAGATTTTTTAGCTAAATTATATTGGTGGAGAGCAATTACATTAATAATGGAACAGCACTCTGTGTTTATTCTACGGGAAAGAAAAAAAAAAAGGACCCAACACTGTATATGAAATCCGACACAAAAGAAACCGATGTAACAAAGCAGTATCCATAGCAACAACAACTTAATATTTCAGTCCTCTTCAGCTGCAGTGGATTAAATATAATGACAAGATGTTCCCTTTGAAAAGTAACCTGTTGCCATGGCAACGTTGTATTCTGCAAAGTAAACAGGGGCTGGTCAGAAAGGAGATGGAAGCCTGCGACTGAATATCAAAAAGGCAAGAAGCGTCTGTAGCAGAGCAGGGCAAAACAAGCACACTCCAATCCGAGAGGCTTGCTCCCAACAGTCTGGGGAGAAGAGAGAGGATGTTCAGTTCAATAAAGCTTTGTCCTTTCAATTCTAAAGCAACAGGGGAGGTTGGAGGTTCAAGGCCAAAAGCAGCACCACTGAGAGAAAACAGTTCAGAGGTGAGGATGAGAAAGGAACAGGAGACGGCACAGGGTGGTGCAGAGCGTTAGTTTATCAGCTTTAGAAAGAAGGAAAGAGAAGGAGGAAGGCTGACAACAGTTCTTGCACGATTTCCAATACAGAAACACATTTAATCCTCTCTGTTTATCATCTACCTCCTTGTCTATACTGTACACCAGACTCACGCCATTTATGCAAAAGCTGGCACAACCGGTAGCTTTGCCCGTGAAAAATAACACAGCATTGCCACGCCATTAAGGACTGAAACGTGGCAACAAAGGAACTGCCACGAGACCGAGTTTGAGCTGCGATGAAGTACACTAGAGCAGCTCTGAGGATACCTCGGGTTCAGGACTTGCGATACCAGCTGCTGGTACGGTATTGCCAGAGCCATACAGGATTCAAGGCTGGAAACTCGCAGCAAAACTCTCCAGAGTTTGGAGGCAAAGGCAAAAGGCATTTGCAGATTTCTGCGTAGCACTTCTCTGCGCTGTCCTATCTTTGTCCTATCCCTGACGGGAATCCAAGTCTGTTCTTT